CGGCCGCTCCCTCGCTGGTGGTTCGGCCGGCTCGTGCGCGGCGGGGCGCAACATGGCGGATGCGGAATGTAGGGTCTGCCGGCGGCCGGGCCGTGCGCCGCGGGCCAGCTCCAGCTCCACGTCCGAGGTGCCCAGGAGCCAGGGCTGGGAAGATGGCATCGGGGCCTGGGCTCGCAGCCCGTTCCCGCCGGCGGATCGGCCACATCACTGCCGAGCCTGACGCCGTCCTTGTCTCTCGTCCCTGGCTCCATGGGCGGGGGCACGAGCGTGAGAGGCCCCCGAGGTGACTTGGCTTCGCGGGGACCGGGCCTCCAGCCGACGAGAGCCCCCCTAGGGCCGGGGTCTCCGTCAAAAGGCGTCAGTCTAGCAGGCGATCCCGCGGTGGCGGGACACCTGACAGCAGCTGTACCGTCGCCAGCCCGGACGCCGTTGTTAGGTCCACGCGAGGAGGGAAGCAAGCGTGGTGGGAATGGGCGGGGAAGAAAACGGGCCTCGGAGACGGGATAGCTCCAAATTGCAAGAAAGCCCTAGAGGCCACAAGCCTAGGGGACAGTCGAGTGGTCGCTTATGGAACTTTCAGGTCTGTGGGCAAGTGCTTCTATGGGGTGTTTAAGCCCTGCCACAGCCACGTGGTGAACCGGAAGGGAAGCCGACACGTGCGACAGCTCTAGTTACTTGCCGAGCGATGCGACCCATGTGTTTGGCTTTACACACTATTTTCTCCAGTAATTGTAGACCTAGAATCCGTTTTCTACTGCCCTGATTCTGATCTTTATTTTAAACTTTGTTTCTTTTATTTTCGGGAAAAATTCCCAAATCTCGTTTTGTTTTTTAGTAGTTATTTTGCCAAAGAAGCATAAGAAGAAAAAGGACCGAAAGTCATTGCCAGAAGAAGATGTAGCCGTGAGTAGGAATGTATTTCACGTTGTCTTGACTAAAAATAAAGGTGATAGAAATAGCAAACTAAAGAAGTGTTTAAAGGTTCCCAAGGAACAGGCTGGCTTTGGGTGGTCTTTGTGTACAATTGACAAAGCACTGAAATGACACAAACCCAGACAACCTAAGTCAGGCATAGTTTACTAAGTGGTGCTGGCCACACCAGCCACTCTCTCTCAGTTTCTTTCCCTTCCTTATCTCACCCACAGGCCCACCCTCCCCCTTTCTCTTTAAATATTTGGACCCATTTTAGTGGCACTTTACTTCCCCTTCTGAGCTCCTAGTTCATTTCTTCATTCTTTGCCTTGGTGATCTCCCATTGAAGAGACATAAAATGCCTTCTTTTTTATTTAAGAGGTGTGCACTTCTGTGATGGTAAATAGAATTGTTCAAAATCAGGTGGGAAGTCTTAATAAGTGTGTTTTTGTCCTATCAAAGGAAATACAACATGCTGAAGACTTTCTTATCAAACCTGAATCCAAAGTGGCTCAGTTGGACACGTCTCAGTGGCCCCTGTTGCTAAAGGTATGTGATTAAGATCATGCATTAGGTGAGCTTTTACATTATTTCTAAGTGTTAAACAGTTGATTATGAATGTTTACTGCTAGCATCCTTGCCTTTAGGAAATGCCAGATGATACAGTCGAAAGCAGTGTTCCTTAAGGGATCTAAGATGAAGGACCAGGTTATTATTATTTTTTTTTTAATTTCCAATGCACCTAACACGATTGGTGAATACGATTTAAATGTCGCCATAATGTTAAATTGCTGTCAAACTTTGTAAACAATTACTTCTCAGATTCTGGGCTTCATCGTGCAGACCTATAACAGATTGTGGGCCACACTTGGAGTAGGACTGCTTTAGTGCTTAAGAGCATGGGCTTTGAAGCCAGACCAATTTGGGTCAGACTGTGTGACCTTGGGCCAGTTATTTAGCCTCTCGGGCTGTTTGCCTCATAAAATCTCTTAGGAAGATGTGCTGAGGGTTATAGGAGGTTATCTATGAAATATGTGGTGCCACAGTTCCTGACATGTAGCATGTCCTTTACAAATTATTGGCTATTATTTGGGGGCTTAAGTAGGGTAGTTCAGTAATGAGTTGAATTACAGTGTGTTTTTATAATTTTCACAAATGATTAAATGGGCACCAGCTATGAGATAAGGAAAAAAAGCGGGTAGAAAAAGTGGCTGAGACACCCCTTGACAAAGAGTTTTTTTTTAAAAAGATGACCGGTAAGGGGATCTTAACCCTTGACTTGGTGTTGTCAGCACCACGCTCAGCCAGCGAGCTAACCGGCCATCCCTATATGGGATCCGAACCCGGAGCCTTGGTGTTATCAGCACCGCACTCTCCCGAGTGAGCCACGGGCCGGCCCTGACAAAGAGTTTTAATAAGCCATTGTATATGAGGTGGTAAAAGAATGAGATTTGCTTATATAATTCAGTTCATTTGAGTTTCTGCCTGGCCAGATATCTCTGTCATTTAGACATCTGCCTTTCTGTTATAGGCTCTGGGGATACGCTAGTGAACAGGGTAGGCAAGGTTCCCACTGTCATGGAACTTAAAATCTACGGATGGGAAATAGACAGTTGAAAAATAATTGCTACTTGTGGTAAGTTCCATGATTAACCTAAGCTGGTTATGAAAGATGGGCTTCAGTTGGGGGAGCTCTTTCAGACAGGTGGTTCAGCCTCAGAAAGGAGACTGAAAAGGAGCAGACATGTGAAGAACAGAGATGGGGCATCTGGAGCAGGGACAAGTTAGTCATGTTGAGAAGTATTGCCAGTCATCCTCACTTTGGCTATCTTTTATCCATGAAAAAATCAAAGTTATTGCATGTTTTATTCATAATTCTGCACAGTGAAGTCCAATCTGTGTTCTGTAGTACCCCAAGAAGTTTCCTCTTTCTAGAGCATTGACGTAAGCCTATAAGTACTCAAATTTGTCTTGTTCTTACTAATATGGGTAGTTTTTCTTGTATTTAGGGAGGTTTAATAGTCTGTCATAGCAAATAATGGAAATAAAGAAGCAAAAATCTAAGTTTATGAACTTGAAAGGTTACCATACCATGGTTGATGGTGATGCTGGTTCTTGTTTTCTGTGTGTTACTGGTTTATTACTAAGTTTATTTTGCATTGTATCATTGCTTTCTAGAATTTTGATAAGCTAAATGTAAGGACAACACACTATACACCTCTTCTTTGTGGTTCAAATCCTCTGAAGAGGGAGATTGGGGACTATATCAGGTAAGTGTGTTGGGAGCAAGCACTGCCCTTCATATACAACCTTTACCCATGGTGAATTCTTATTTTACTCTTCAGATTTGTTGTTTTCTTAGAGCACAAGAGCAGGTGGCACATTAATTCTTTTTTCCATTCTAGGACAGGCTTCATTAATCTTGACAAGCCCTCCAACCCCTCTTCCCATGAAGTGGTAGCCTGGATTCGACGAATACTTCGGGTGGAGAAGACTGGACATAGTGGTACTCTGGATCCCAAGGTGACTGGCTGTTTAATCGTGTGCATAGAACGAGCCACTCGCTTGGTGAAGTCACAGCAGAGTGCAGGTATATGGAAGAGGGAGGGAAGGGCTGGCTACTTAGAGATTGGAAGACTCTCTGCATTTCCCTTCCCTTCTACATTTTAGCTCAGGGAAACTATTCATTAGGGGAAAAATTTCTGAAGCAGGGATATTATTTTGCTTTCTGTGTACCTTCTGCCCTCTGCCAGATCCTGGCGGGTCTGTGCTTTCTTGGAGTTCCAGATTCTAGGCATGTGCACATTGAGCCAACTAGACCCATTCCTAGCACTGCGGCAGAATTCTGTCGAAATCCAGCTCTTGGCTTATCACTCTTGGCTCTTGTCACTCTGCTGCTGCTTCTGCCTGAAGTGTCCTGCCCTCACTTTCATCTGAGAACATTCTTCTGCTTACCTTGCAGGTGTTTTTCAGGCAAGCTCTACACTGGGTCTTGTTAGCACACTGAACGTTGAACTCCCAGTGAGAGAAAGTGCCTTCATTCCTTTCCCATATGAGCACCATGAAATCTGTCTTAGTGCAAATTTTACAGAAACATGAGGCCACATTGCCTGATTTCCCTGCTGTGCAAAATGGGAGTGATTGAGCACATAAAAAAATACCAAAAACAGAAAACTCAGTGGCCACACCTGACTACTCTTGTCATTTTTCAGGCAAAGAGTATGTGGGAATTGTCCGGCTGCACAATGCTATTGAAGGGGGCACCCAGCTTTCTAGGGTAAGTCTGCATTTGTACAAAGGATACCCTTTGGTGACTTGGGTCCTTGAGCCCCTAAATGTCTAGAGACAGGTGAGCTTTTCTGGCTAGCCTCTTGTGACCTTCTCAGTGGGTTGCCCTCGCCAGCCTGGATGGGTGACTGCAGATGGCAGAGGCATCTTCCAACCATCTCCCTTTGAGGGGAGGAGGTTCTGAACAGCACCGAGAAATCTCTGAGTAGCTAGAGAAAGAAGCAGAAACTGAAAGAAAAGGCATTTTTGATCTTAAGTAATGGAAAGAAACCTTTTGTGTTTCAGCGGTGTCCTTAAACTCCCAAAATATGCCCTTTGATCTTATTTAAGAGTCCTTCTGATGAGAGTGTTTGTTTTGCTTTGTGCTTGTTCTTAGGCCCTAGAAACTCTGACTGGCGCGCTATTCCAGCGACCCCCACTTATTGCTGCAGTAAAGAGGCAGCTCCGAGTGAGGACTATCTACGAGAGCAAGATGATCGAATACGATCCTGAAAGAAGATTAGGTGGGTCAGTAGGCCCGTGGGGACTGTACTGACATGGAGCACAAGTGGGCAGTAACACATTCTTGAGGACTCTATTCTGCTTAAAGTATGTCCTTAGCATATTGTGTAGTCATGGCCTGTGTCTGTCATCTCTAGCCATCTTGATGGCTCAGGTGGATCTGGGTTTCTCAACCAGTAATGTGTTTATTCTGGAAAATAGGTGCTACTTTCCTCTTGTGTGTGTGTCTCAGGAATCTTTTGGGTGAGTTGTGAGGCCGGGACCTACATTCGGACACTGTGTGTGCACCTCGGTTTGTTGTTGGGAGTTGGTGGTCAGATGCAGGAACTTCGGAGGGTTCGTTCTGGAGTCATGAGTGAAAAGGTACGCCATTATGGGGCTAGAAGTTTTAGAGCTGGTTTTTAATACCTTCCAGCCCTTGGTGGAACTCCACCTGCTTCACATGCTGGGAGAAAGGCAGTTTCCAAAGTGTTGAGTTCAGTTCAGGGCAGCTTCCCTGTTCTGTTAATTAAGCTTTGGGACATTGAAATGGGCTAGGGGAGATGATCTGATAGAAAGTATTACTCCATCCATTTACCTCCCACCCTACAAAAATGAGTCTGAAGAGGCTGAAGGTTCTTAATGAGCTTCGACTAGCAGATAAATTATATTCAGTTTTAGGCAGTTTGGGGGCTGACGAGCTATTGGAGATGTGAAGACATGAATTCTTTTCATGGCTGCTTTTCAGGACCACATGGTGACAATGCACGATGTGCTGGATGCTCAGTGGTTGTATGATAACCACAAGGACGAGAGGTACCTGCGGCGAGTCATTTACCCTTTGGAAAAGCTGCTGACGTCTCATAAACGGCTAGTTATGAAAGACAGTGCAGTAAGTTCTGGGTTAGGAGTCCATGTGTGTACAGAATGTGACTCCAAAGATAAGAGAAAACTCCATTCTTTTTTTTCTTTTTTTTTTTTTTTTTGACGGTAAGGGGATCGTAACCCCTGGCTCAGTGGTGTCTGCACCACCTGCTGAGCACACCAGCCATCCCCATATAGGATCCGAACCCACGGCTTCGGGGCTACCAGCGCCGCACTCTCCCGAGTGAGCCACGGGGCCAGCCCAAAAACTCCATTGTATTTAAAGAAATGAAACATTGACATTGTGAGCTCATCTTTATTGTTTTCCTTGGGATTTTTTTTTTGATTCCAGTTTCACAGGTTAAATACTGGATTCTTTGTTGTTGTTGTTGTTAATAATGGAAGCATTTGTGACTAAACATTTTTAATTAAAACCAAGTACACTAAAGTAAAAGTTTAATGCTGGGCCTACTTACATTTTTAAAAAGGGCAAATTAATTAAACGTTGACTTTAAGAATTCTCCCAAAGTAAGTAACTTGGTTCAAGTAATAGACTATCAGTGGTCTGTAAACTTTGCCCTTTTGTTACCCGTTACTTCTGCATGTGCCTAAGAAACCTTAATTTATTTAAATTATTGTTAGAAAAAGTTGGGACTAGAGAGTTTCAGAGCTGTAATTATAACGTATTTGTCCTCTAGGAATTTCAAAAAAAAGTTTTGTTCCGTTTGAATAAATTATAGTTTGAAAGCTATAAGACCTAAACCTCACTGACCTTATCAACCCCTTTTCTTAGCATTTCTACTTAGATTGTGTAGATGTTTGATGCATTTTTGGTATATTATAGTCCATTAAATTAAAGAGGTATACCAAAACATGGCACTATAATTGAAAAAATGTAGTCATATAAAACAGTGAACAGCATAAATGTGATGTGCCCTCCTTGTGCTGGGGTCACACTGTTGCTTCCGGGTGGATTTACGGGAGGGTGGACTATGGTCAGCAGCAGAAGCGTAGGTGAGGGAAGATGCGATGGCGCAGGACAGGTGGATGCCTTGGGTGCTACTGAACTCCTGGAGAAGGGGCCTTAACTTCTTGAACCCATTGGCTCGGGAATTGTTTGACAAAACTGTTGTGTGATTAGTTCACCAGGCCTCAGTAATCTTGTTTGCAAGTTACTTTCGGAGTTTGTTATTGCCTGGACCTCCGGTACATCTACTGTACTTTCTCCTGACAAAGAATAGAGGGAAGCAATTAAGGAAAGCTAAGTTTGGTTTTTTTGTTAAAAATGAAAACAGTGGATCCCTTGGAAAGAAAGTTGAACTTAAAAACTTGCTTACATTGTTTACTGAAGCATGAGGTCAGCGAGGTCATTGTTCTTTGGCAGCTGAAGTATCTCGGACATAGGAGAAGCGGCTATTATTTTAAAGTCGTGTTTAATGTTTCTCAGTCATGTGTAAAGTGTTTAGAGCCCTGCCGAGCACACGGTAGGCGGTTGCTGCTATTCAGAGTCCCTTCACACCTCAGTGGGCCCAGTGGGCGTGCCCTTAGCTCTGTGTCCCGCATGGTGGCCTGTCCTCCTGTTTCCCTCCTTACTTCCGATGTGGGAGTGGGACGGAGGGCCTCACGTGTACCGTCATCCTGCAGGTGAATGCCATCTGCTATGGGGCCAAGATTATGCTTCCAGGTGTTCTCCGATATGAGGATGGCATTGAGGTCAATCAGGAGATTGTGGTCATCACAACCAAAGGGGAAGCAATCTGCATAGGTAAGAGGGGATGTCGCCCCATCATTTCTGGAGCTGGGGCTCCATTCCATACCGTCACATCTAGGCTCACTGAGAGCAGGTCCCTAAATAAATCCCAGTCCCTGGAGTTGATATATTCATGTCATTTCCTGGGGTCTGTGTGGGTGGTCACAGGGAGGGACAGGTCAGTCAGATACAGGTGAGAAGGTGAGTGGGGTTTCCACTTGCACACAAGTAGGTGCTTGTCCCCACTTGGCTCTCCAGCAAGATGACAGGAAATCACTGGTGAAGAGCAAGAAGTAGTTGTCCATGGCAATCAAGATGAAGAGCCCTTAGTCCCCACCGCCCTCGTCTGCTTGCAGTTAACTTCTGATTTTAACTTGTGAAAGTTTAGTTACTATTGGATCATTGCTCATGGATAGCAGAAAAGGAATCCTTAAAACTTTAAATGTTCTGTGGCCCTGAAGGGGGGTGCATGCCTCTGAAGGGGAAAGCAAACCCTTTTTCTACTGTACTCTCATAACACAGTCACACAACACTTCTGACACCAGATTTTTGGGGTTTTTTCCCCACTCACCAAGCAAGCCGTCAGTTCTGTAGTGGACATCAGCGGGGTGTTCTAATTCAATTCAATTCCCTGTCTACCTGGAGACAGCGTCAGATCCCACAGGTTGAGGGCTTAGTCCCCAAGACTGCCCCCCACTTCTGATGGCAGTCACAAGCCCAGGTCTCTGGAACTTCTGACCAACCAGCTGTAAATCAGCATTTCCACAACCCTCTCCTTGGGTTTGATTAGTTTGCTAGAGCAGCTCACAGAACTCAGGGAAACATGTTCTTACGTTTACTAGAGTATTATAAAGGCTATCACAAAGGACACAGATGAAGAGATGCAGAGGGCGAGGTGTGGGGGAGGGGCGCGCAGCCCTCCAGGAACCTCTACATCTTTGGCTGTGCGGAAGCTCCCCATACCCAGTCCTTTCGGGTTTTTCTGGAAGCTTCATATGTAGGCACGACTGACTAAATCACTGGTGATTGGTGATCAACTTATAAAGTTGGTTCTTCTGGCAACCAGCCCCCATCCTGAGGTTGTCCAGGAGCCCCAGTCACCAGTGAACATACAAAAAGACACATAACCTTGAAGACTAAGGATTTTAGGATTTGAATGGCAGGAGATGGGGGTGAAGACCAAATAGATATTTCACAGTATGACAGTGCTGTACCTGTACATGTCCTGAGCCACAAGCCTACCGCGTGTGTTTTTAGGTGCTTAGGCTAGGTGTTTTTCTTCACTTGATAAGTTTACCATCTCAAAGGCCTCCTTCCCATAATGGAAGATTTTCTCCATGTGCCCACCCTGAGCGAAGGAAACCCAATTAGGGTAGTAGAGCTCAGAGCTTTAAATGAGTTTTAAAGGGGCATAAAACAGTGGAATTGGGGATCATAGGTTATCAAGTTTTTCGCCTTCAAATCATTCTTTTCTCTCTTTCCGATGTCTGCAGCCATTGCATTAATGACCACAGCAGTGATCTCTACCTGTGACCATGGTATAGTAGCCAAGATCAAGAGAGTGATCATGGAGAGAGACACTTACCCTCGGAAGTGGGGTTTAGGTCCAAAGGTAGGTGGGGTTGTGTTGTGTGTCCTGCCAGGTGATTTCGTTTTGCTTTGTTGAGTACTCAGATAGCCCTTGGTGTGTCCCCACTTCCATAGCCTTGTATTATGCTGGACTCGGGATTGTTGGTGGGGAGTGCAAACAAGCCCCATCTCAGACCTTAGAGATTTCAGTTTAATGGGGGGAAACAGTTGGGCATTACTTAAATAATCACATTGGAATGGTGAATTTCAGCCATGCTAATGGCTTTCAAGGGAGTACAGAGAGGTGCCTGGCACCTGGAGTGTCCACACTGAGGAGCTTGACCTGGACAGGGGGTCTGGGCAAAGGATCTTCTCTCACGCCACACCAGTGTGAAGGGTGGGTTAGATGTTGGTGAGGTGAAGAGGGGAGGGAAGAGCAGGGCAGTGGGTGCAGCATGTGCAAACGCCTGTGGCCAAAACGTGGAGTGGCTGGAGTGAGTGAGGGGAGGGGCCTCTGCAGTGTCATTTTGTAACCTTCAACAAGTCCCCTGTTTGTACCTGTTGGAGATAGTGGGTAAGTTCTGAATGCTCTGCAGAGGAGTGTGAGGCCTCGATGAGAATATACAAGGGGAGAACCTGTGTGACGTTCTGTGCGCACAAGGTCTGTTTAAGCCACGTGTGTGCAGTCAATGCCCACTTACTGCACTGACATCATTGTAATGCTGAAACTTTGACATTCCACCAGGCAAGTCAGAAGAGGCTGATGATCAAGCAGGGCCTTCTAGACAAGCACGGCAAGCCCACGGACAGCACGCCTGCCAGCTGGAAGCAGGAGTATGTTGACTACAGGTAAGGGCGGGATGTTTTGGTGGCAGGGGTGGGTAGAGACAGCAGACTTGCCACCTGGGTGCAGGAGTACATTGATGACAGGTGAGGACAGGAGGTTGCAGAGCCCAGAGGAGGTGGGGAGGGGTTTAGTTTGGGGCACACTTGCTAAATGCAGGACCATAGGAACCAACCCTTTGGCTCAGTTTTCCTTGCTGGGCTCCGGAAGGCCCAGGCCCCTGCTCAGGCCTGTGCAGCAGACAATTATCCCTTTCTAGTCTGGCTCGTGGGGCTCTAGAGGGAGTCAGTCTGCAACAGTAAATGGGGAGTTCTTCTGTGTAGCGTCAGTATTTTGATGGTGGCTTTGACTTGCCAGATATTGCTGAATAACTGAGTACTGCCGCAGGGAGCTGTTCAGCAAATTCACCTGTTGGTTCCTCTCTCTTTCAGCGAGTCTGCCAAGAGAGAGGTGGTTGCTGAAGCAGTGAAAGCCCCACAGGTGGTTGCCGAAGTGGTAAAAGCTCCAAAGGTGAGTGGCGTGCTGGGCGATAATGCTACGAAGTGCTGGGGTTTGGCTTCTCTTGGTGCTGTCTGCAGTCCAGCCATGTGTCCATGTGTCGTGGCTCCTCACCCTCACCCCGGCCTGGGTGCACGCATAGATAACGTTGCCTCATACTCCAGGGTACTCGTTTGGGCTCTACGGGCTCCTCTGATTTGAGTTCACTGGTGTGTCTGCTGGGAGTAGTGTGGGCTCAGGGTCAGACTAGCCTCGGCTCCCACCTCAGCTGTGGCGACAGCATCAGGATATAATGGGTGGCACCCATGTTATTCTGGCTCCCACCCTGGGTCAAGTGGTAGCACAGGTGTGTTGAAATCAGAGGCCCCGGCAGGTTGTAGTTGAAACTCAGGGCCATACAAAGCTCGGCAGGGAGCAAAATCACCAGGGACTGGCAAACATCTCTGGTCAGCAGCAGCCCAGTGTTTAAAGAGCTGGAGTAAAACTTGGTGGCAACTTAACTTCCCAGGGTTGGGGAGCACTGGCATTAGCGTACAGAATGACACGGCCACACTCAGAGGCCTTGGGTAGAACTGAGTTCCCTGCAGCAAACCGTGGGAAGACCTGCTGATGGTCGAGTGCGCGCTCCTGCTTCGCCAGCTTGCTTTGAGGACTTGCGGGGGCGCCCTTCGAGACCCTGTGGTCCACCCTCCATGAGAGAAACCGCTGCTCAGGGCCTTCCAGTCCCCAAGCCTGGGCCACTGCTCTGCTGGTCCTGTCACGCCCACAGCTTTCTGGGCTTTTGGGGTGAGACTGTATTCAAATCTTCAGTGCACTAAGGCCCCGCCGGGGCTCCCAATCAGGAAAGTTACTGTTGGGTCCAGTTGGGATCTTTCCTGGTGTCTCCCCACCTTTTGACTTCCTGGAACCTTCTCACCCATTATTGCCCACGATCTAACTTTTGGCCAATCGTTTCCACCTCAGCGGAAGCGAGAGAGTGAGAACGAAAGTGACGATGCCCCTCCAGCAGCTCCTCAGGTGGTCCAGAAGGAAAAGAAGAAGAGGAAGAAGGACAAGAAGGCCAGGGCTGCTGTGCCGAGCGGGCCCGAGCCCGGCGGGGACGGGGTGCGTACGCACGGGGCCCGTCAAAGTGTAGCACTAGAGTGTCTGTCGCCGAAAAGCTCCCGGGACTTTGGGACACATTCAGTGTACTCAACCCAGAATATCCGTACAGAGCCTGAAGGGTTTACTTGGCTTGGTGGAACTTACCAGAGTTTGAGGGGGAGAGGTGTAATTGTGCTGTTAGGTGCTGTGACCTTGCTTTCTTTTTCTCTTTAGGACAGTGACACCACCAAAAAGAAGAAGAAAAAGAAGAAAGCGAAAGTGGCAGAGTGATCTGTGAGTAGGGAAGCCCACTGCAACCGCCGCGTCCGGCTGAGGCACAAATTAAAGCCTTACCGAGAAAACGTAGCTTGTTTTATTGTTGAGGGAGTAGAACATGGGTCCCAGACAGGGTGGCGACTTCTAGGACATTCTAGCGGCTACGTGAGACCTCGGTGATGTTACCTGGTGTGGTCATCCCATCTTGTCCTGTTTTAAGGATCTGAGTGACGAAAGAGGCAGATCTGGTGCCATCTGCTTCTGTGCTCGAGTGGGGAAGCCTCGCCTTCAGACCAAGCACTGCCCAGGAACGTCTGCGGCTGTTCGCCAAGGGCCACCTGAACAACATCACAGTCCTCTCCTGCTGTGCTTCTTTTTTTTTTTAAACCCTCTGTCTAAAATGTTTGTAAAAAGTGTCTGTTCAATGAAAGGGTAGAGAGCCCTGAACAAGTGACAAAAGGGTATAACCGAACCAAGCGGTTGACTGGGGAAAAGCTTGTCTCTGATGTCCTATGAGCACACTGTTACATCCTGCTGTCCGGGTGCAGTCCCGACAGGCCTCTATGCACTGCCTCAAAGCTTGTACGCACAGCAGCGTCCACCTAAATCCATCTGGCTTCTTGTGTCTGTGACAAGCTGAACCGTTCTTATACCCTCTTGTTTTCTTCTAAACAATGAAATTGCTCATTTCTGGGAGAATGTTGTAATTTTTAATTATTAAAGTTGACTCATTATGTTTTTTAAGTATTTCTGTTGGTTTTCTAATTGTTGGTGATCTCAAAATAGCAGAGCAAAAAATATAAAATATTTTCATTAAAAATATGAGACCTTTAAAAAAAAAAAGAAAATCTCTCCTGCCAGGAGATGATGCACACAGATAACGACAGAAGAAACCTAACAGGAGTTTGGTGAGCACACTGGACGGATAGATCTGGGATGTGACACTATCTGAAGAGGCAGCAGCCGCTATCCAGGCTGAGGCCCAGGTGACCTGGCACACTCCATGCCCAGAATGCCTGCTCTGCCCTTCCCCGTGTCCTCTTTGAAATTTGATGGCTTTCCTTTAGTGTTATATTTCTCTGATTCTGTATCTTACAACATTCACCTTGGGACCCATCATCTGATGTGGGATCAAATATTCTGAGAGGGGCATTATCACAAATTCAGTGATCTTTTTCCAAAACAGAGAGGAGAAAGGTGGATGTGTTACATGGTGGGCTTGGCAGGAGGGCATGTCTGGAGGGTGGGAGGGGACGCACCTGACACATCTGGGCTCAGACTTCGCAGGAGCCCACCGAAGCTGTCAGTTCTGGTGCTGAGGGCACGGGTGAGTACGGAGAACGAGGTTGGGGGCAGGGATGTTCAGGAATCTGGAGGTCTTAGCGATACAGATGGGAGAAAGGTCTAGGATTGCTTCCAATTTGGTATGAAAGACAGGAAGGCTAAAGTGTATGCCCACGATGGCTTCCCCCCAAGACAGAACAACCTTAAGGTGCTGCTGGAGACCTGAATTGGGGGTGTAAAGAACAAGGGTTCTTCCAGTTGTTTTATAACCTTAGTTGCATCTGAACCCAGCAGATGCATCTTGTGTTGATGCCACTGTCCAGGGAGCTTAAATGAAGCTGGTGACATTTCAGAGGTTTGTGGTGCAGGTGGAAACCCAGAGAGTTACAAGGTCATTGGCATTTTAACAGCAACACTTTTATTGCTTTTGAAGATTTCCATACATCAGACATCATTCTAGTGCACAGCTGTTTCATTTTGGCATTTCAGAAAGTTGGAGCTGAAAACGCTTTCTCCAAAGTAAAAAGACACATGAAATGCCCAGGATAATTGAAGGTGAAGGAGCACAGGCTTTAGAGGGACACGGTCCATTGCTTTTTGTGCGTCTTTTATTAGCAGTTGCATTTTATAGTATTTCTTACCCCAATTTCCAGAGATTCTTTTGAAATCCAGATCAACTGGGCCCCATCTATCAGGAAAAATCAAACCTCAACCCTTCCAGTGCCTGAGCAAGAAGACTGAATACTATTGGCCTAATTGGGATAGTTGCAGAGAGCTGGAAGCAGACATAAAATTAGTTGGAGTGGCCCTGTTTGTCTCAAAGCAAGGGAATGGAGTTCCAAATGCTGGACAGGGACATACAGTGGTTCTCCCCACCCCTCCCCATTTTGCAAGCTTAGTAAACCCAGGAGACAGGCACCCACTGTGGAGAACTGCATGCTTGGTCAAAGGCTTCTTGCAATTTCTTAAGGGTTTCATCAACGCCATTATTGACCAGTGAGAGGTCGAAGTAGTGAGCATACTGGCTGCGGATGGCCTCGGAGTCCTTCTGTAGCTGTTGCAGGGCTTCTGTCTGCAAAGAAGAAAGAGCCATGGATGAAGCATGCTGCGGCACTCCTGGCCCAGATGGGCAGCAACAGGTTTTAAGTGGGCATTGATTGCTGTTAGCATTGCCCAGCTCTGTATCCCCTACTTAAAGACAAACTCTGAAGACAGTGCTTGAGTTTGTTAACAGAGTACAGTGTGGAGAGACAAGAACACTGCAGTTCTCTGAGTATCTCAAACCAACCCTGTGCTACGCTTTGGATGTGGCTTATCCCCAACAAAAGTAATGTTGAGGCTTGGTCCTAAAGTGGCAGTGTTGGGAGGTGGTACCTTTAAGAGGTGATCAGATCCGTCAGAGGGATTAATGCCTTTCTTGAGGAGGTGAGTTCTTGCTGTCTCGGGGCTGGATTAGTTACTTTGAGATAAAGTCAGGCTGCCTCTGGTGTTTTGCCCTCTGCACACACCCGCTTCCCCTTCCCTTTCGCCGTGTTATGTTATGATGCAGCACGAGGCCCTTACCAGAAGCCAAACAAATGTTGGCCCCTCGATCTAGAACTTCCCAGCCTGCAGAATCAGGAGCTAAATGAACCGCTTTCCTTTATCGCCCAGTCTGAGACGTGTTATAGCAACAGAAAATGGATTAATACATCCTGTTATGAAGAATCAGAGCCCTCTGGAAGACCAATATCCATGTAGAGATAGCATGGACTTTACTAGCATTTCCCAGTTTGTGCCCTTTGAACATGGAAGAGCCACTTCAGCAACCACCAGAGCTGCAATCCCAGGACAGAGATAAAGGTGACTTACAATCCTGGGCCTCTTTCTTTGACCCCAAACCAAGCAGTTACAAAAGACTGATCATTTAACTACATAAAAGTAAAAATGTCTGCATAGTGAAAAACACCAAAAGACGTGCCAAATTGGGAAAAAAAAAAAAAAAAAAACTGGTGACTGATATTACACAGGGCTAATTGCCTTCATATAGAGTTCCTAGAAATCTGTAAGAAGCCAAGAACCCAACAGAAAAATTAGCTGAAGACATGACCAGATAATTTGCTCTAAACAGTACAAAAAGATACTCTATCTCTTATAGTAAAAGTACAAGATACCATTTTTCCCTATATTAGATTGGCAAAAAATGAAAATTTTGACAACACGCTACAGGCAAAAGGGAACAAGCACTCTCACAGGTAGTTGGAGGAACTGTAAATCGGTGCTAAAGGAGCTCAGTTTGCCAATTCCTATCCAAATTCTGAGTGCGCGCACTCTTGGACCCAGTGATTCTACTTGGAGTGTTTCCTACAGTTATATTTGCACGCATGTGAAATACCATGTGTGCAGGGCTACTGATTGCCGTACCCTTTATAGCAGTCAAAATTTTAAAACAACCTAAATGTTCATCAGCAAGGGAGTGGTTAAACTGAATAATTGTGATAAATACATGCAATGGAAAACCATGCAACTATTAAGAAAAAGGCTGGTGAAGTTCTCTACACACTGATAGGGAAAGACTTCCACTGTGCAATGAAAAAGCAAAGTGAAGCATGGTGTAGGGGTAGGGCTGGGTGTGGAGCGGGTAGGAACTGGGTAGTGGGGAGGAGGGGAGGCTTTTCAGTATATTCCTGGCTTCCTTCTACCTACAGTCAGGCTGCACCCCGGGGTGGGTTCAGCACAGCCCGTCCTTCGCAGCTCCCCCTGCCTGCCCCACCCGTTCCCCCATCACACCAGCATGTCAGGATTTGCTCAATTGTCCGCCTTTGCCACTGGACCTGTGCACCTCCAGGACAATGACTGGGTCTGATTCGTTTTGTTCCCCTGCTACCTGGCATGGGCATAGGCCTCGCTAGTGGTCTAATAACTGCTGAATGAATAAAACGTGTGTACCCTTTGGCTCTGTGGCCTTAGAGGAAGAAGCACAGCTGGAGCAGTCTGGCCACTAACCTCAACCGGTGTTGCGGTCTGAGCGGGCCCGGAGAGAGTGGCCCCTACCCACCCTTCCCAGCCCCTGCTTCCCACCTGAGTGCCCTGGTCAGTAGGTGCGATGAATACAATGAAAGGTGAAAGTTCTGCTGTCCGAACAGTCTTCAGAGTCTAGAAACAGAGGAAGGGGAAGAAGGGAGAAAAGGAAAGAGGAAAGAAAACCATAGCTGTCATAATGGGTTCCTGCTACTCAACAGCTGTGGGCCGTACCAATGCCTATAACTGGTTTCCGGCATCCCCACTACTACTGTTCTTGTTCCAGCCTGACCCCATTCAAAGTATGTGAGGCACCCTGAGGTCCCAGGAGACTCCCAGGAGGCTGGCTTTTGAGCGCCGCCTCCCCATCCCTTGTGTGGCTGGGCCCGTCCACTCCTGCCTTTCCATGTCTACCCACCTGGGGCTCGATGTCGAGGATGGCAATCTTGTCCTGCTTATGAATCTGGTGCACTGTTTCAAATTTGGTGCCAAACATGTTGCCCTGGTAGCTGCCAAACTCCAAGAACTCGTTGGCAGAGATGCTCCTCATCATGTCCTCTGCTGAGATGAAGTGGTACTCCTGCCCGTGCGCCTCGTTCCTCCTGGGCGGCCGTGTGGTATCTGAGGACAAGCACCCAAGTCCCTGATGAACTCTGGGTCCTCACCTTTGTTTTTGTTTTTTGGCACTAGCTGGTACAGGGAGCAAAACCTTGACCTTGACCTTGGTGTTATCAGCACTACCCTCTAAGCAACTGAGCTAATCGGCCAGCCCCAAAAGAATTTTTTTTTTTGGCAGCTGGCTGGCACAGCAACCTTAACGTCTCTTAAGGGCTTGGCCCATGGTGTCTGTATTGAAACCCCAGCTGCCTTGGTCAGAGAGTTTAACAGAGCAGTTCCTCCCATGGGCTCCTAAAGGGCTGATGCTAGAAGACAGGAACCCCCCATCTGCCCAGAACACACTCAATTCTCAGGAGGCAAAGCCACGGGCACAATCCCTATCATCACTTTCCCTACGTGAAGTTACAGCTCTCACAGCAGCAAACTCAAGAAAACTGATGTGCAGAAATGAAGAAATGATAGCTGAAAATATTTTAAAAAGTCGCTCTATGGGCTACAGTCAGGATTTCTTGGAAATATACTCAAAATTTCCTTTTCATGATTTGGAAAGAAGAGTAGTTTGCTTTGGTTTAAATTTGGTTTAAAAGTTGGAATGTCCATCATTGGATGAGTGGATACGGAAAATGTGGTATATCTACACAATGGAATACTACTCAGCTATAAAAACTAATGAAGTACTGCCATTTGCAACAACATGGATGGACCTTGAGAGAATAATATTGAGTGAAACGAGTCAGGCAGAGAAAAAGAAATTCTCACAGCAGCAAACTCAAGAAAACTGATGTGCAGAAATGAAGAAATGATAGCTGAAAATATTTTAAAAAGTCGCTCTATGGGCTACAGTCAGGATTTCTTGGAAATATACTCAAAATTTCCTTTTCATGATTTGGAAAGAAGAGTAGTTTGCTTTGGTTTAAATTTGGTTTAAAAGTTGGAATGTCCATCATTGGATGAGTGGATACGGAAAATGTGGTATATCTACACAATGGAATACTACTCAGCTATAAAAACTAATGAAGTACTGCCATTTGCAACAACATGGATGGACCTTGAGAGAATAATATTGAGTGAAACGAGTCAGGCACAGAAAGAGAAATTCCACATGTTCTCACTCATTGGTGGGAGCTAAAAATAAATAAACAAATAAATATGCAAACAGATAAAGGGTGGGGGGAGACACAACAGTCACAACTGCTGGAAGCTGACACGACAAGGGAACAGAAAGGAGGTTGCTGGGACGGAGGGGGAGGGAGGTTTCGGGAACGGGCTGCGATAATCAACCACACTGCATAGAGACAAAATAAAACAAAATTAAAAAAGAAAAAGTTGGAATGTTCTTAAAAGTCCCATTTTCTATTACTCATATGAATTGTCTACTACGTAAAATGTGCCCCAGATACTGAAGCTGGAGCCACGGCCCTCCCGACTGTTCTTCCACCATCGTGCACTGAGCACCTTTGCTTTCCACGGCACCCACTTGTCTCTCCCAACGGGCTTCTTCCTCAGTCTACAGCCCTACAGGGATCTCTTCCCTTCCGTCTTGTGAAACGGAAACTGTTCGACCTGACATTATCTTCACCTGTCACCCTCTTTCCCTAGCACCCTTCTTGCTCAAACGGATTTAAATGAGGAGCCTGTACTAGTTAGTTCTGCTTCCAGACTTCCCACTCACCCCTCACCCCAGGGCTACTGCTTTCTGCTCCTAACCTGCCACCGAAATTACTCTCACTATGTCCCTCCCGGCAAGGAGACAACTCTCAATGATCCCTGTGTAAACGACAAACATGGGGAAGCAAAGGATAAAAACATATGAGTATCGGGTTTAGAACCTGGCTTTCTATTTTGCTCTGCAGCCTCTCTTTCTGGGAACGGAAGGGTCACCTGATTCCCCCCTGGTCGCCGCCCTGTCCTTCTCCACATCTAGGACTCCTACTGAGATTGTCCGGGCCCTGCTCAGCGCTGCTTTGATTTAGAAGACATTCCATAAAAATACGAGGCAGCCTCAGCGGCAACCGAGAGCGGGACAACTGATCACAGGACGTGCGCTCAGTGGACTGTAAGGTGCTTCTCAAGGACAATTAGGCAGACAGTAGAGGGAAATGACAAAATGTTTATAAAGTAAACTGAGAAAAGTAATATACATAAATTTTAATAGTTGCTTAATAATTTCTAAAGCAGGATAAAAACTGTTTGCTACAGTTTCTGTTATGTAGACAAACATCATAGAAGAGAATAAGGAAACAACATACATTTTCTCAAAACAGGGGCGCATTCTGACACGCGCACTGTCGGGCGGTTTCCTCTTTGTGCGAGCATCACAGAGCGCACTGACACTCATCTAAATGGCACAGCCCACGACACACGTCGGCCACGAACCTTTACGGCATGTTACTGTCCTGAATACTGCGGCAATTGTAACACAATGGTAAGTACTTGTGTATCTACATATAGAAAAGGCTCAGGAAAAATATGGTATAAAAGATTTAAAAGAATGGTGCACCTGCCTAGGGCACTTACCTATGGAAGTTGCTCTGAGTGAGTCAGTGAGGGAGTGACTGTGGCGGCCTGGGACACTACTGCACACCACTGTACACTTTACAGACACTGTACACTTAGGCTACACTAAATTTATTTTTAAAAATTGTGCTATGAGTTTGACATCACTAGGCCATAAGAATTTTTCAGCTCCATTATATTCTTATGGGACCACTGTTGTATAAGTGACCCATCGTTGACCAAAATGTCATTATGCAGTATGCGACAGTAGTTATTTTGTTAGCTGGAATGACTGTGGATACAAATTTTTATCTTTCCACCCTTTAGGTGTTCACTCCCTCCAGTGCACCCAAGAGCTACTTACACGGGGCAGGGTACACAAACTTCTCCGGATTCTGGCTGAGCAGCGCATTCTTAATGTGGCTGCGACCCACGCCACTGGCTCCTGTGTGGGGAGGGAAGAAAGGTTTCCATCTCTTTCTCCCGAAGACAAAGGAGAAGATGGGAGTGGGGATGGGCTATGGATTTTCATCTCAGTGCTCTAAGTTGCCAAAAGGTGGGAGTGAGTTGATGTTGCATCTGGGCTGGGGTCAGGGTCTTTAAACCACTGGAAGATTTGGAGCCACCATGTAGCTTCAGCCCTTCTTTCCATTTGGCGGAGGCGACTCTTTCTAAAGCCTAAGAATCGGAACTCAGAACATAACTGTCATTTCCACATAGGAGCCAGCTAACGTGGGATTTTCCATTTTCTAAGGATATTCACTTTTCTGAGCTCACCAAATTAATGGAACTGAATTTAAGCCAGTGTTTTTACTGGAAATTTCACCAGAACCCTAATATGGATCTTCTAACCAAGTAATGTCTTAACTCTAAGGACAGGAAGGTGAGCCACCCATCAGAACCAGGTTCCACATTCCTGGATTTGGAGCAAGGATTCGTTATCTTTCAGGTCAGAGTCTGTCACTGCTTCCAGGGCTCATGTGGATGACTAAACAGCTCAGAATGCTTTTCAGGGACTCCCACTGTGCTAACAAAGTACTCTAACGTATGTGCTTGAACAAAAAAGCATATCACTGGAACACGCCTGCTGCCAGCCAGACGGATGGACAAAGAGCAACACCCAGTTTAGGGGGCTGGCCAGTTAGCTCAGGTGGTTGGAGCACAGTGTCTTAACACCAAAGTCAAGGGTTTGGATCCCCATACGGGTCAGCCGCCAGAAAAAAAAAAAAAAAAGGTGAAAAGCCAGTTTAGGACCTGTCAGCACCAAACCCAACCTAAAATAATTAGTTGCTAAATTGCTAAATAATAGAAAAACGTGTAAAGTTCAGTTTCACTTGTGAGGTGGACCCGGATGGGGTACTCGTGAGGACCTGAAAAATTCTTTATACCTGCTCCGTATGGAGGACCCGAGAGACCTCACTCCTTTTCTTCCTCATTGCCTTTTCTGGGGGATCAGTACAGAATGCAGGCAGGAAAATAAGGACAGAAATGTACTCTTTAATTAGCAAAGCAGCAGGGGGCAATGGGAAGATACCGATCAGCACCAGGGTCTTCCTCTTGAATGCAGGGAGTCGAACAACTTCCTCGTAGGAAACAACATCCAACTGGTCAAAGACTAGAGATAAAGAGAACCAAGCAATGTTCATTTCCAGGGCTGGGGACAGCACTGGTCCAGGTCGTGAGGTGGGAAACACTCCCGGGGTTAAGGAACTGAAACCTGATCAGCCTGGCCCCATGTCAACAGACAGGGAGGGGGGTGACTGGAGATGAGGCGGGAGGTCGGAGGGGAGGAAGGACTTTGGATTGTATTTAATTTGGTATCATTAGCAAGCAAGGGATGTGTGACATGACCGCATGTAGATCTGGAAAGGATAACCCTGGCTACTGAGTAGGTAACAGACTGCAGGGGCCCAATGGAAGCAGGGAGACCCTTCACCAAACCCAATTCCAGCCCGACTCCGTGCCTCACAGTTTTTCTTGTGGGGAAACTGAACTTAAGCTTAGTGGGGAATGGTGCAGCCTGGGAGTAGTGAAGAGGACGTGCTGGGACAATGTCCAGGGCAACTGCAGGAGGTGCTGATGCAGAATGATGCAGAACAGGACGTCAGGTTGAGCTGACCCCGTGTTACAGACTGGCACGTTCCTGTGGGTCTGGATTTGGTTTTCCCAGAACCCTCCACGTGAAGCCCTGACGCGGCCCTGTGGGCCAGCTCTTCCGGTTCTGACCTCTTCCCTAATGGTTTGGACCCTACACTCTCTGCCTCCCTGAGCCAACCTTTCTAGGCTCCAGCACAGATGTGCCCTCCATTCCCGCCCCCTGGGACAGGCCAGCACTCTCTCTGTTGACCAAAATGTCTCTTATCTTAGGGACCAGGGCTGCTCTCCACCCAGTGGCTGCACATGGAACCCTGGTTGTCATCCCGACTCTGGACCCCCTGCTCTCCCCACAAGTCGCGGACTGCTGTGACCGTTTCCTGGCTGGCTGCGTGCACATGATGTGTCAGTGTGCCTCTTCTGCTGTTCTTCCTCCACTGCTACCAGACAGAGAAAAGCTGACCGCATTAATGTCCTGTTCAAAGCCCTTCACCAGCTCTGCAGACAGTACAGATGCTCCTGGACTTAAGATGGAGTTAACGTCCCAATAAACCCATTGTGAGTTGAAAAGTGGTAACTCGAACCATCATAACTTGGGGACCGTCTGTACAGTAGAAAATATAAACACCAGGGACGACAGACAAGGTTGGCCGTGACCTGGCCTCGCCTTGGCTTGTGTCCTTGCCCCTTCCCCTCTCCCACCACCAATGATCTGGCCCCGTCTACGTCTGCACAGGCTCCTGCCAGGCCAGCGTGCATTCTCAGGAGGACATGCTGCTCTCTGGGGCTGCTCAGAGCCCGCAGCCAGGTCATGCCGAAGGCGCTGACGTACTGAGCAAGCTGTGAGCATGCAGAACAGTCTGGAAGGCTGTAGAGGCCGCCTGCAGCAGGGCGCTCGCGGGGCTTACTCGAGCTGTGCTTGGCCAGGTACTTGTCTTTGCATTTCTTCTTCCTCCCAAAGGGGCTGCAGCTCGGGGCTTCGCTCGGGGCAGACTGAGCCGCACTTGCCACCCTCCTGGGATGGGAGGAAAAGACAAGCAGGGCATCAGCAGATCCTCGCTGGGAAAGCCCCAGGCTCGTTTGCCTGTCCTGTGACACGACTCGGTGACCCTCGGGCCTGGCCACAGGACACCTCCAGACCTAATGGCACCTTCCCTTTGCACTGGCCAAAGCATCTCGTGCTGTCCTTGAGCCCGTCCTCCTCCTCCGTCTCTCTGTGTCTCTAGCAGCGGCCGCTGCACCGTCTCACCCTCTCTGAGACCCCCCAGGTCTCATACTCTGTCTCTCTCTGTGTTTTTCTCTCAGTCTCAGTGTGTGTCTCTCCATTCCCGTTCCCCATCTCCCCCCTCAGCCTCTCACGCTCCCCGAGGGTCTCTCTCTCTCATAACCCACCCTCCCTCCCCTTCCATCTCTCTGCCTCTCACTGTGTGTGTGTCAGCCCCGGCCTCCATGTCCCTCTCTCTGTCTCTCTCTGTCTCTCTCTTCTCTCTCTCTTCCTCTCTGTCTCTCTCCCTCTGTCTCTCTCCCTCTCTCTCCCTCTGTGTCTCTCTGTCTTTCTGTCTCTGTCTGTCTCTCTCTGTCTCTGTCTCTCTCTCCCTCTGTCTCTGCCTCTCTCTGTCTCTCTCTGTCTCTGTCTCTCCCTCTCTCTCCATCTCTCTCTGTCTCTCTCTCTCCCTCTGTCTGCCTCTCTCTCTGTCTCTCCCTGTCTCTCTGTCTCTGTCTCTCCCTCTCTCTGTCTCTGTCTCTCCCTGTCTCTCTCTGTCTCTGTCTGTCTCTGTCTCTCTCCCTCTCTCTCTGTCTCTCTCTCTGTCTGTCTCTCCCTGTCTCTCTCTATCTCTGTCTGTCTCTGTCTCTCCCTGTCTCTCTCTATCTCTGTCTCTCTCTGTCTCTCTCTGACTCTGTCTGTCTCTGTCTCTCCCTCTCTCTCTGTCTCTGTCTCTCTCTGTCTCTGCCTCTCTCTGTCTCTGTCTGTCTCTGTCTCTCTCCCTCTCTCTCTGTCTCTCTCTCTCTGTCTCTCCCTCCCTCTCTCTCTGTCTGCCTCTCTCTCCCTGTGTCTGTCTCTCCCTGTCTCTCTCTGTCTCTGTCTCTCTCTTCTCTCTCTCTCTGTCTCTCCCTCCCTCTCTCTCTGTCTGCCTCTCTCTCCCTGTGTCTGTCTCTCCCTGTCTCTCTCTGTCTCTGTCTCTCTCTTCTCTCTCTCTCTGTCTCTCCCTCCCTCTCTCTCTGTCTGCCTCTCTCTCCCTGTGTCTGTCTCTCCCTGTCTCTCTCTG